CTCAGGCTGCCAGGCTTGGCCAAACTTCCTCCCACGTATGGCAGATGGATGGTTCTCTTATGTCTCAGAAGAGGTAGTAGTTCTGCCTGTGGCATAGCCCAGACTCTGTGCCCCTGGCACAGGTGGGACATCCCCTCCCTGCTCCCCACTTATAGGCACCCAGCTCTTACAATGGGGACCCAGGGGCTGCTCTACCAGCCTGTGCACCTGGACATTGGCAGCAGGAGGCAGGTGTCTGACCAAGAGAGCCTGAGACAGCAGGGATGTAGGGGAAGGAATGGAAGGAAGACCTCACCCTGGTGGCCACCCCCCGTGGTGCAGGCCCCATGGAATCATCATTACACCCTTGGGTCACGGTGGCATTGCCTTAGGGCCCATCCTCCACCCCCTTGGGGAAACAGAGGTCCAAAGTATTTGTGGGGGGTGCCTCTTGGCTCCAGTTCTGCTCCAACAAGACCCGTGTTTCTATTCTGGCAGCACCTGTACCCTCCAGCACAACAATGGTGGGGTTCTGCTCCCTGCTGCTCTCCTGGCTTCTATTCAACTGGTGGGTGGGGCCTCTTCAAGCCGCTCCCACCCCCAGAGGCCGCCTTGCTCTCAATGGAGGCTGCTCCTGGCACCCCTGAGTTCAGTCCACACCAGGGTCCATGCTGGTTGCCCCCCCGACCCTCAGCACCTCATCTGTCAGTGGGGACAGTAACCCTTGCCCATAGGCCTGTGATGGCACCAGACCCAGCAGAGCTGAGCACTCAGTCGGTGCCAAGCCAGTGGTCACTCCTGTCCTCCTGGCTGTGCCAGTGTGGGCCCTGTCTGGAACGCTGGTCCCAGTGGGGCCATGGCTCTATCAGGAACATCCACAGCATCCTCATCGCAGACCAGTCCTGACAGCAGCACCTGTCTCCACCTGCTACTGCCTCTGGTTCCACCTGGAATGACAGACACTCCCTCCAGGGCACCCTGGCCAGCTGCTTGTTATACCCCAGCCTGAGGCTCAGTCCCAGGGAGTTCTGGGGGCAGGACAGGATGAGGTGGGGCTGGCTTGCACAGGTACACACGCATGCTGGGCACCATGATGGGCACCCCCACTGGATCACATTTCTGTCCCACTTTTTGCCCCATGATTGAGCTGCCAGCCCTGCCTTCAAGGACTCTCCAGCTCTCAGCCCAGAGGCATGGGGAGAAGGCCAAGGCTGCCCAGTAAAACTTACCCCACAAGCCTGGGTGGTGCAGAGGGTATGGGCAAGTGGGAAAGGCTTCTCAGAGGAAGTGGTGCTAAATGAGCCAAGGAAGGAAAGGCATTCCAGGCCTAGGGAACCATTCAAGCAAAGGCCTGAGCGTGGAAGTTCTGGAAATTCCTGCCAGGCTCCAAGACAGTCTCTCCCTCCTGCAGATGACATGCGGGTTGTCCGTGGCAGGAGAGGCGGTTGGGTCCATGTCAGAAGACTGGGAGCCACCAAGCTACAGATCCTGGACTTTTGAAAAAAAATTATGAATTAGATTGTCCGAGCATTGGAAGGGAAAGTGTCGCAGGAGGGGCGCAGTCTGGCAGAAGCGGGAGGTGTGTGTATGGGGGGAAGCAGCAGCTTTGCTGAGTAGAGGGCAAGCCAGACAGGAATGCACAGTCCTGTGGGGGAAGGTGATACACCGATCATGGCATGTCACCTTCTCCCAGTTGGGAAGATCGCACAGCTCCGGAGCAGATCCTGTTCTGCCACAGATGTCCTCCCTGCACGGCCCAGGAGGAACAAAGGGACGAGCTGGACTTGGGGAGGAAACCTCGCTCTCACCGAGTCTCCTCCATCTCACATTGGGGTGAACTTGGCACAAATCCATGGCAGGCGAGTGGGGCTGGGGGTGTGGCTTGTGGCCTACTTATTCCCCAAACAGAATTTCCTTCTGGTTTTAATGCATGGAAAAGGAACAACATCTGGAAGTAGGAAACAGAACAGCCTCTAAAACCCAGCTGCAGGCGGCCTGCCTTGGACCAGCCCCGTCAGAGCATGGCCTGTGGTTATGGCCGGCCTTCAAGGCTTCAAGGCACAGGCGAGGAGGGAGCTCACCTGGGGCCGGTCGCTGTTTCTGGGCCTTGTCTTCATATCTGTCTGGGCAGTTCTGCCCTGGCCTCTGCTCCATCTGTTGCCTCTGCCCTGGGGCAGGCTTCTGTGACCCTCCTCGAAAACTGCTATAGCTACTTTGTTACCAGCAGCCAGAGGGGTCTTCCTAGGACACAGATCTGGCCCTATCCCTCTCCTCTTAAGGCCCTTCTGTGGGCCCTACTGTCCTCAGCATGGAGAGGCTCAGCCTGGCCTCTGAGCCCCACCGTCTGGGCTTCGTCTCACTCACCAGCGTGTACCCACATTGGCCACAAAGGAGCCTCTGCAGGGAGTCTGTTCCTTTTCCACTTTGGTACCTCTGAGCTGCCCTCCCCTGGCCATCACCTACTCTCTTCTTTGCATCTGCTGGCCATGGGTCAAGGCTTAGGTGAACCAGAAACCAAATGAAGTGAGTGCAGCAAGCAGTGTTGGCATACCTGACTGCCTGTGTCTCCACAGGGCCTACATATTTCTCCAAGCCTGGATCAGTCACCAAGTCCTTGGACATGTTTCATGGCCCCCATGCTGGCGTTGGCACCTTCTCTGTGCTGCCACAGCCCCTGTGTTCCACAGCTCGGCTGTGATGTTTTATGATTGTGTGTGCGCGTGCATGCATGTGTGTCTCCCACATGGTCTGTGTACTCCCAGAGGGAAGGACCCATGTCTAGTTCTGCACCTTGGTACTGCCCAGCACAGCCTGGAGCCAGTCTGTCCAGATGAACAGGCCTTCTCTGAGAAGGACTAGTGGTGCTGCGCGGCCCTGAAGCAGGGCCATGGAACAAGCCTTGGACTGCAGGGCCTGCTCCACCCACAGTCCTCCCCAGGCACCACCCACCACTAAAGGATAAGGTGCCTTTAAAGCTGGGGAGGACACAAAAGAACCCGGTGCCTGGCTCAAGAAAGAAGGAGGTCAAGTGTTCCCAGTGAGGACACATCCCTGAGAACTTGAACTCCTTGGGGCTGAGCCCCAGAAAAGGGTGTGGAAAGCAGGATGTGGTGCCCTGCCCCTCGGGGAACATGGCTGTCCCTACCTCCTCGGGGCACCTGCTGCTGGGAGCCCAGGCTGGCCCCTGGTTCAGAGGAATGGGGTCCCACGGGTTACTCTGGTCACGTGCCCACTGCTGGCAGTTCAGCCTCGAACCTAGCGGATGCGACCGATGCCTCAAGAGAGGGAGGCAGCCTCCTCTGGTTCCTTCCTCCTCAAGGGTCACCTGGGAGGGCAGCGGGCAAGAGACTCGGCCTGAGTCCTGTCTTCACCATGCCACAGCCCTGTGACCTTGAGCAGGTCACTCAACCAAATGAAGCCTCCATCTCTGAGACAGGGACATCGATACCACATACTTCCCGGCTGTTATGTGGTCCAGTACCCAGCACCATGCCCAGTGTCGGTCCCCTCCTCCCGCCCATGTGTGAGCATGGCCAGAGCATCAGCCTGGCTTGAGCAGGGGCAGACAGCGGGAAGAAGCTGGAAGGAACGACCAGTCCCACGAAAGGCCAAGAGGCTGCTGCCTCCACTGGGCTGCATTGGAGCTGGACTTTGAAGGCCGAGGGAGCATTTGATGGGTGGCTATGAGAGAGGACATTCCTTGCTGAGCAGCTTGCGTGAACAAAGGCTGGCAATGGCCCGCCAACTCCAGATGTTGCTGTAGTGCATGGGGTAAAGAGAGGCAGGGAGCCCGGGACTCAGTGGCTCAGCCTGTAATCCGAGCACTTTGGGAGGCCGAGGCAAGTGGATTGCCTGAGCCTGCGGGTTCGAGACCAGCCTGGGCAACCTGGCGAGACTTTGTCTCTACAATAAAATAAAAAAAATAGCTGGGCGTGGCAGCACACATCTGTAGTTCCAGCTACACGGAAGGCTGAGGTGAAAGGATCGCTGGAACCCAGAAGGTCGATACTGGGGTGGCTATGAGTGTGCATGCCACTGTACTCCAACCTGCATGAAGGAGTGAGACTCCAACTCAAAAAAAAAAAAAGAGAGGCAGGGAGGTGTGGAGGCCATGTGTGGGAGCAGAATTGGGTGCTATGTGAGGGACGCCTCCATTGACGGCTGTGGGCATGGACTCTGTGCCAACAGAGGGCAGAACCCTTCCTCATTCGGTGTCCTGCCCCTGGGGCCCCCATATCCACCCCAGGTGGCCACACAGTCTCAACTCAAAGAAAAGGAAACGAGACAGAGGGGGCCAAGGGCACTGACCACAATCTCGCTGGGACAGGGCCCCACTCGGATCCAGGCCCAGGGCCCCTCGATTCAGACTCTCTATACTAGGATGCACCTGCCCTTGCAGGCTCCTGTCTCAGAGTTGAGTGGCATGTCATGTCCAGGTGGCACTGAGAGAGCCCTACAGGTCCAGAAATGGAAAACCCACTCTCTCCTCCAGCCCTGATTACCCACTTTCTTTTTCTTTTTTCTCTTTTTTTTTTTTTTGAGTCCGTCTCACTCTGTTGCCCAGGCTGGAGTGCAGTGGCACGCTCAAGGCCGCCGCAACCTCGACCTGCTGGACTCTGGCGATCCTTCCGCCTCAGCCTTCCAAGTAGCCAGAACCACAGGCACTCGCCTCCATGCCCAGCTGATTTTTTTGATTTACTGTAGAGATGAGGTCTCACCAAGTGGCCCAGGCTGGTCTCAAACCCGCGGGCTCAGGCAGTTCTCTCACCTCGGCCTCCCAAAATGCTGGGATTATAGGTGTAAGCCACCACACCTGGCCCGGTACCCCACTTCTAAGTTGGGGTGTTCTCCTTCTGGATCCACCATGGTTTCCAGATAGCCTGCGCCCTGAGCACTTCACGGGGAGCTCTGGAGGGTCGGACGGAGGTGCTGGGGCCAGGCAGGCCTGGGAGGGCGAGGTTCCAGGCAGGGAGGGGGGCAGCCCTGGGGCCGGGAGCGCCCCTCACCAGCCTCTCCTGCAGTTTGAAGGCTGCAGCAAGGCCTTCTCACGGCTGGAGAACCTCAAGATTCACCTGAGGAGCCACACAGGCGAGAAGCCATACCTGTGCCAGCACCCGGGCTGCCAGAAGGCCTTCAGCAACTCCAGCGACCGCGCCAAGCACCAGCGCACCCACCTCCACGGTAGGCCCGGCGGGTGGAGGCCCAGGGGCAGGGGTGGAGGATGGGCACACACCTGCCACTTTTCCGGGGCAGAGCCGGCCACATAGAGCCCCTGCCTTGCCTTTCAGCCCCATGGACATTTGGGCCAGGATCACTCTCTGGTGGGGGGGGCGGGGTCTTGTGCATTAGACGGTGCTCAGCAGTGTCCCTGGCCTCTATCTACTAGACAGATGGTGGGCAATGTTCCTTCTCCCAGTGGTAACAACCAGAAATGACTCTGGTTATTGCCAAACATCCCTGGGAGCGAGGGAGGCAAACTCCCCCCCAACTGGGAACCACTGCTTTGGCCCATGGTACCAGCTGGGCACCAGAGCCTTGCGCATCCACATGGAGAATGGGCTCCCCCTCCCACATCCTCACCTGAGCCTGCCAGCCATGCCCACAGCAGGCTGCACCCTGCTTCTCCCACCCTCTATCCGCCCCCACGCCCCCTCCACCTGGAGACAGGCCAGAGGCTCTCAGGGCCTTCTTTGTCCCGCGAGCACTGCAGGTGAGGAGTTCAGGTGGGCAATTGCCCAGGACTCTGGGCTCCTGTGCTGATGACCCAGCCGCAGGTGCTGCTGGGTCTCTTTCCGCCTCTCCTCCCTTGCTGGTGTCAGGCAGTGGAGAACCAGCAGCTTATCACAGTGTGGGTCTAGGCATGCCCCCATGTGTGGTCAACAAAGCACTACATCACCCTCAGGATCTCACACCAGCCCTGCCATCAGGGAGTCACTAGCCCATTTGACAGAGGAGGTGAGCAGGGTCAGCTGGACACTGGCAGAGCTGACTCAGACCTGAGCCTTGCACTGGTCTCACAGGCCTGGAGTGAGGCGCACGTGCCTGGGAGGACCCCAGCCTGTGTCCGGCGGGAGACGGGTCTGCAGCTAGTGCCCACGTCTGGGCCTCAGGCCTGCTTTTCTGCTCTTCCAGCTGGTGTTTGGGGAACTCGTGGGTGAGGGCTAGGAGATCTGAGTGGCCAGCAGCTCAGCCTGTCCAGTTCCCGGATGAGGAAACAGAGGCCCGGGAGGGCAACTGACCCATCTAGGGTAAGGTGGAGACCATGGTCAGAGCTGAAAGGACATTTGCAGGCCTCTGGTCCCAGCCCTTTACCTAACAGCTGGGAAAACCCAGATCCAGAAGGATGGGGTTGAGAGGCAGAAGATAGCAGGGAAGTAACATTCCTGGGGCTCTACACATCCCCTGGCCCCCGTGGTCTTACACACACCACCCCCCGTTTAATCCTGGTGCCACCCCAGAGTGGGGGCCATTACCCTCACATTGCAAGCAAAGAAATTGAGACTGAAAGACCCAGTCATACTCCTGTTCACAGCAGGTACGTGGCAGAGCTGGGATGCACACTGGGCTGACTGACTCTGAGCCCAGTGCTCCTTGCTGGAAAAGATGACGTGGCAGTCACCCTGGGGAGGCAGAGCTGAGCAGGGGGGACAAGGGTGACAAGGAAGTGCCCTGTCCCCAGCCTGAACCCCACTCCACTCCCTCCCCAGCGACACTGTCACAGGCTGCACTGGGAACATGGAGTGAGGAGTGGCTCTAATAACCCCCTGCCCTTTGTTACTTTCCAGCCCATGGGGCCCTTGGCTCCCTGTCCAGACCCTGAGAAGCAGTTTGTGCCCCCTCCCCTGCATGTGTTTCCCAGAGGCCACAAGGCAGCACCCACCACACCAGGCTTCTCTGCACGTTCTCCCCCACCCCCAGCCTCTGGGACTACCTACCCTCACCCACCCCTTCCCTCCCTGCTTAGTGCATTTCCTGGACCCAGCCCCAAAGCAACAGGCCTCTGGCCCCCACTCGGTGCGTGAGCAGAGCTCCAAGGCCTCAGTCAGGTCAGGGCACAGGGTTATCTCTGGCTTTCATCTCCTCAAGAGGTCCCCAGGAAGCCTGGGCGTGCAGCCACCAAGCTCAGCACCCCCTCATATGCAGCTTCCCACATCCATACCACAGGACCCACGTAGGGAGCCTCATTCCCCAGAGGGCACCAGCATGTCCCCAGTTCCTCTCTGGTATCGGAGTACATGAGATTCTCTCCATGGGCAGGAAAGTGTCTCTAAACAGACTGGAGACCAGGCTTGGGTTCTTCCCTGGGCCCTGCCTCCTGGAGGTCTGAGGAATGCCCCTGGGACTCCCCACGCCTTCTCAGAGGCATCTGCCCCAAGAGAGCAAGGGAGGGTGAGCTGAGGCAGATGTGAAGACCCGGCCCACGGCCCCTGCTACCTCTCCTTGCCTGTTCTCTTGCTGACACAGTGCTGACCAGTCCTGCTGTGTCCCAGGCGCTCAGTGTGGGGTTTGAGTCCTGACTGCCACTAACTCCCTGTGTGGACTCGAGTAAGCTGCTGTCCTACTCTGGGCCTCAGTTTCCCCTTCAGCATGGAGTAATACTCTTACTGGCTCTGAGGTCTTGGGCAAAACCTCGGCCTTGGTTTCTTCATCCGCCAAGTGGGGCCAATTCTTATGGGGTGGGAGTGGGTCGCAGGGCGATCACTTATGGCCAGTGCTTAGCACAGCGCCTGTCTGCCCCATGAAGCGCTGTCCTCATCACAGATGGGAAGGGGCACCACGCAGCAGCGGGGTGCATCCTCTGTTAGCAGAGGAAGGCAGCCCTTGTGCTGGAGAATGTGTGCGACTCCAGGCTGGGTTTGGCCACTGGCTGGAGACAGCCGCAGGGTTTCCTGAGCGCTCACAGGGAATGGGGCCTGAGGAATGTTCTACACACGTCAGGTCCTGGAAAAACAAACATGGAGATGGGCCCCGCTGCCCTGTTTCCAGGCGAGTGCGCCTGCATACACGAGCCTGTTTGTTTGCTTTGTGACAAAAGCGAATGGATTTGTATCAGTATCCCCAAGGGACAGGGCCTGGGCCAGCTCAGGGGCAGAACAGGGCCCTGTGTATTTGTGGGG